CATTCAAGGCACTGGTAATACTATTATGGCATATGACTTATACTACAGGACCATCAAACATTATACTTCTAGTACCACAAGTCAATACCATCCGAAGTCACAAGTAATACCATTCAAAGGCACTAGTAATACTATTATGGCATATGACTTATACTACAGGACCATCAACATTATACTTCTAGTACCACATGTCAATACCATCCGAAGTCACTAGTAATACCATTCAAAGTCACTGGTAATACTATTGTGGCATATGACACATGCTACAGAACCATCAAAGATTATACCATCTAAATGCACTATTAATACCATTACTGCGCATGACACATACTATAGAACCAGTACGAAAAATACAATAAGCCTCTTTCCCATATCCTATATGAAACCCTTGTTAGGACTCAAAATGCTTTGGGGACATGCTAATGTCACCGAAGAATAATACCCATGAGAAAACTGTTACAAAATCATGAAATTCGACAACAAATAAATGATCTTTGCAAACCCAAACAACAGAACAACAAATATTGGAACCGATTTAATGATTAGGGCAAACACCGAATAAAGTCGAGGCATAATACCCATGAGTGGATATGTTCAAAATCATGCAATTCTATAACAAATAAACCTTTTTGCCCTGCTTAAGCAACACCCAAATGGGTCTGTTTCCAAGAAAATGAAAAAAAAATAAAAAATCAAACCTTGTTGTTTACCCTGCTTCACCATTGTTTATAAATGGGTTTGTTTATACTATTTTTCTGCGGTTTGTTGATTCTTCGTGTTTCGTAATTTCTTCCTTCTTTGTTGTTTCTCTGTTGCGTTTCTTCTTCGTTTCTTCTTCGTTTCTTCTTCGTTTCTTCTTGGTCTGAAAATGGGTATTACTGAACGGTGGTTTTTTCTGCGCCTTTTTAGCTTCTTTTTTGTTGTTTGATTTTTGAAATGTAACGGGCAAAGAGCGTGTAATACAAACGGCGCGTGGGAAGTTGAAAAGAAGTTATGTAAAATTAGTATAAAGTAAAGGGTATTTTCGTATTTGCACATTTTATTAGGGACTGATCTGCATGTTAGGCGCGTGAGTAGGGACTGAAATGCTAGGGGAAACTACCTAGGGACTGATCTGTGTTTCAAGTTTTGGTTTAGGGATTTTTCTGTAGTTTCCCCATAGTTAACTGCTACACGAGAAAAATAAAAATAAAAATAAAACAAAGACCATTTCCACAGGGAAACCAAATAATACTGATATGCATATGAAAAACATTATTACCAGGCAATGTTGGGGACTTTTCAACTCTTTCTAAGATAATTATAAGTGTAAGAGAAACGTAGTTGACTATTTCAATTTGTATTCACTATAAATAGGCACCATTCTTATATATGCAATCTCATAATTAACTCAAACCAATTAAGCAATATAATCTCACTGAATATTAACTATGAAGATGACTCTTGTCTCCCTCACAGTTGTATTTGTTCTTGCATATTTCGCTACATTGGGATATGCATCCGATCCCAGTCCTCTCCAAGATTTCTGCGTTGCTGTTAAGGATGCCGACGCTGCTGGTAATTAACTACACTTTCCAATCAATTATGTTTATATTATTAATTGCGTTACATGATATTTATATATGTTTTTTTTGCATGCATGTAGTTTTTGTGAATGGGAAGATTTGCAAGAACCCTGACCTGGTTGTGGCCGAAGATTTCATTTACCGGGGACTGAATAAACCCGGAAATACGTCAAATCCAATTGGATCAAGGGTCACTCCTGTCAATGTCAACCAACTACCTGGGCTGAACACTTTGGGCATTTCTGCTGTACGTATAGACTATGCACCAAACGGTCTAAACCCACCCCACACTCACCCACGTGCCACCGAGATTCTTGTGGTGTTGGAAGGCACTCTTTATGTTGGCTTTGTCACTTCAAATCCAGCTAATCCCGCTATTAAAAACAAGCTTTTCACTAAGTATTTGTACCCTGGGGACGTTTTTGTCTTTCCAGAGGGTTTGATACATTTCCAATTTAATGTGGGAAAGACCAACGCGGTTGCCTTTGCTGCTCTGAGCAGCCAAAATCCAGGTGTCATTACTGTTGCGAACGCGGTGTTTGGTTCGGATCCACCAATTAATCCAGCCGTTCTGACAAAGGCATTCCAGGTCGAGAAGAACGTGATCGACTATCTTCAAGCACAGTTCTGGTGGAACATTGATTAAATACAAAGTTGATCATCATATATAAGAATCTTGTTAATCAAACTAATAAATCAAATTGTCTTAAATAAAACAATAGTAGTGTTTATGTAGTCTGTGTACTTCATTTGTCTGAATAAATGATACTGAGATTTAATTATAGTTTATGTATGATTATTTTTATTCACTTGTAACTCACCTAGGGTTAGTTATTGTTACAACGTTATGGTATCTTTATTCACTTGCAAGTTTATTGTTACAACGTTATGGTATTTTTGCTGAAATGTGAGTTTTATTATTACAACGTTATGGTATTTAAATGTCTCAGACAGTTAAATTACTGTTGGAGATAGCAACTTAGCAGCCAAGACAATAATATTAATTAAAATATTTTTTTAAAGAAAAAACAAGATTTCGAAAAAAAAAAGTCAATTAACAGTTAAATTATTGTTTATGACAGTTAAATAACTGACGGAGACAGTAATTTTACCGGCCAAGAGAGTAATATTCATTAAAATATTTTTTTTAAGAAAAAAAAGCCAATTTACAGTTAAATTGCTGTCTTCGACAGTTAAATAATCGCTGGAGACAATAATTTAGCACCCAAGACAGTAATATTAATTAAAATATATTTTTAAAGAAAAAAAGATCATTTAACAGTTAAATTAGTGTCTCTGACAGTAAATAACTGTTTGAGGCAGTAATTTAGCAGCCAAAACAATAATTAAAATATTTAAAAAAAAAAAAAAATAGAAAAAAAAATCAACGCCGGAGACACGGCGCTCAACAGTGGTTGACCTACCAGAAAAAAAATTCAGAAAAAAAAAGTTTTCAAAAAATAAAAAATGTCAACGCGCCGGTCTCCAGTGGTGGCGGGTCAAAATTAGGGTTAAATTAAAATTATGGTCAAAATTAGTTAATTGGTGAAATTGGGGTAAATTGAGGTGTAAATCATGAAATTGGAGTTGAATTGAGTTTCAAGAAATTGGGGGTAATTTTCGTATATATAAAAGGGTTTTTCTTATTTGCGAATAAGTTTGAATGAGCTGGAAATATTTGAAAGATAAAAAAATTGGATGTGCCTTTTTTAATTAAGTACCCTTATCAAGAGCCTTTGTGGAATTAATTCTTTTAGCAAATATCAATTAAAAAAGATGGCTTTATCATTAAGTCCAAATTCAATGATGGGTGTTTGTCATATAGGCCCTAATTAAGATCACCCTTATATCTTTATTTACAGTAGAAACTAATTAAAATGGCTTCTCCAAAATTTTATTCTAGTTCATATAAAATCTGAAATTTAAAAAAGCTAGATGCATTGATATGCGTTTTCCTTACTTATAAATTACCGCAAGTATACAATATCGCATTTTGCATTTTGCAGAACAGTGGTTCCGAATACGCGTTTTCCTCACATATAAATTACCGCAACTATACAGTATCGCATTTTGCAGAACAGTGGTTCCGAATATCGATCCACAAGGACCTATAGATTCACATGCTGAGTAATGTAATTATATTATCGTTATATTATCTAGCCGATCGTAAATAATTGGAATGGTGATAAACCCTAGTTTAATAACATGCAAGATCGTAAACATGCAAATATAAGATGTACGTAAATAGAATAGCGACAACTCAACACGGGAGGGCTTCGATTTAAAAGGGACTTCTAGGGCAAAATCCACCTATGTATAATCAACAACGATCTACAAATCCGTTATCTAAAATCACATCCCTATTCGTTAACCCAGACGCTAAAGTACTCTAACCCCCGTCTCCAGTGTAGTTAGAGTCTACCCACAGGTCCGACGTCTCCGTTCAGAACCCGCTATTAAGAGAGCATTTAGGTCAAGTCCTTAAGGGCTACCCGAAGTGCATCACGTGCTCCGTTTCCACACTCTGAGCTATGTTTTCCTAACTTCAAAAAAGAA